TTTCACTTTTGTTTAATTTTGATAGTGCATATTTTTAAAAATTTCTGTTTTGATTTTGATTTTTTCTATTTATTTTATTTTGCATTAATGAACAAAAATTTGTCTACTCTTTCGCAGAGCCTGGAAGTGGACGTCAAAGGCGAAGCAGAACTGAACTCCGTCGCAAGTCTGCTGGGCGTGCCACCAGCTGCACTCTTCCGCGGGCTCACCACTCGCACTCACAACGCACGCGGCCAGTTGGTTAAATCTGTCTGCGACGCCAATATGTCCAACATGACACGCGATTGTCTCGCGAAAGCCTTATACTGTCGCACTGTGGCCACCATTGTCAGACGCGCCAACAGCCTCAAGCGTCTGGGCTCCACCTTGGGCACACTTAGCTCCGATTCCAATGAATCTGTGCACAATCAAGCGGACGTTGCATCGCAGCATGCCTCTACGATTGGCGGCAACTCTGGTTCCAAATCAATGGCTGCCTTAAATAATGCTGTTCGCCATGCCACCGACGGTTTCATTGGCATTCTGGATATGTTCGGCTTTGAAGAACCATCACATGCACAGCTGGAGCACCTGTGCATCAATCTTTGCGCTGAAACTATGCAGCACTTCTACAACACGCACATTTTCAAGTCTTCAGTGGAGTCGTGCCGCGATGAGGGCATAGTCTGCGATGCCGAAGTCGACTATGTGGACAATGTGCCTTGCATTGACCTCATATCCTCGCTACGCACCGGTCTATTGAGCATGTTGGACGCTGAATGCTCCATCCGCGGCACAGCTGAGAGCTATGTGGCCAAGATTAAGGTGCAACACCGCAACTCTACGCGTTTGGAGACCAAACACTCGAGCGAACCCTACGATCCGCGCGTATTTATGATTCGCCACTTTGCCGGGCGCGTGGAGTATGACACCACCGATTTTCTCGACACAAATCGCGATGTGGTGCGCGACGACTTGGTTGCCGTCTTCTATAAGCACACCTGCAATTTTGGCTTTGCCACACATCTCTTCGGTTCCGAATTGAAGGCGCTGTATGCCCTACAGAATGTGCCACGCGGTCTGAGCTTCCGCATTTCGCCCACATCACACACAGATCTGCTGAATGGCGATGAGCCGGTCTCTACACTCACACAAGACTTTCACACACGCTTGGATAATCTGCTGCGCACGCTGGTGCATGCGCGTCCACATTTTGTGCGTTGCATACGCAGCAATGCCAACGAGACGGCCGGCTGTTTTGAGCGTAAAATGGTCGTGCGACAAATACGTTCGTTGCAGGTGCTGGAGACGGTAAATCTTATGGCTTCAGGTTTTCCGCATCGCATGCGCTTTAAGCAATTCAATGCGCGTTATGTTGCCATGTTGGCGCCATTCCGGCTGCATCGCCGTGGTGAGGATAAAGCAATGGAGGATTGTAATCTAATACTCGAGTATGCCTTGGAAAATCCACCAGTATTGGATGGTTCGGTCACTCTGGCATGGGCGCCGGGCAAGCGGCACGTCTTCCTCAGCGAAGGTATGCGTCAGCACTTGGAGCATCTGCGTGCCGAAATACGCACAAAGAGTGCTACGCTGATACAGGCCACCTGGCGTGGTTGGCAGTGGCGCAAGAAGATGGGCGGCGGGAAACGAACGCGGGTCGGCGGCGGCAATAGTGTCATGCCTATTCTGCCAGCGGTAACGACAACGAAGCTAACAAAATTGTTGCCCAACAGCGGCGCGAATTCACGTAAGTATTGGTGCATAGCAGCGTGTCAAATGCAGTGCAATCATTTTGTAATTGATTTCTGTTTTGTTTTTCTCTTTTGATGCTTGCTGCTTTGATGTGTGCAGTGCCGCGCTTGTCAGCTAAATCCACAAATCTGATGGGCACCGTAACGCGTCCACGACCACAACCAATCGCCGGCACACCACCGCCAGATCCAAATGAGAAATGCGATACAAAGATAATCCAGCAAACTTGTAGTCTTTTCGGATTAGATTTGGTGAGTACCACTTTGCGCATTCTACGCTTGATCATTTTTGGTATCTAACACCTGCCGCTCCTTGGCTCACCTATTCCATTGTTCTAAAATTTCTTTTCTTTGCATTTTAACACGTAAATTTGTATTTACTAACTTACACATTCGCTTTATTTAGTTACATAGTCCTGTCGAGTATGGTTGAAAGCAATCTTTTTCTTTGCTTTTTTAACTTTTTAATTTCTACTCGATTCAGAATTTTAT